AATGTGTCGTTCAGTAGCCATTTTTCTCAAGGATTGCCTCCTAAACGAATTTGATAGCAGTAAAATTGTCAACACTCTGGCTAGGGCTGTCTGGTAGGAGAAGTTTTGTATGTACTGCTGGAATATGCTTGTTATAATACTACTCATAAGGAAATAGAAAGTATACATTTTATCTTATCTGTAATATTTTCATCCTTTTTGTATTTTAGTTACTAATGAACTCTCGAAAAATGTTGGGCTCTTATCAATTCCTTAAAATCTTGGCTAGGTCATTTTATCTGATATCTCCATATAATCTTCTGAAGTCTTTGCTTGGTCATCAAACTAGGATTAATTTAGTGACATGATTGGTGTATTTGATCAAATCAACTATACTTCATATCCCAGCTCCTTGAAAGGATATCAACATATGTAAGCGCTGTTAGTTACTAATGAACTCTCGAAAAATGTTGGGCTCTTATCAATTCCTTAAAATCTTGGCTAGGTCATTTTATCTGATATCTCCACATAATCTTCTTAAGTCTTTGCTTGGTCATCAAACTAGGATTAATTTAGTGACATGATTGGTGTATTTGATCAAATCAACTATACTTCATATCCCAGCTCCTTGAAAGGATATCAACATATGTAAGCGCTGCAATGCCTCTCAATGGCATAAGAAAGAGATATCATTGCCAATTGGTAGGAAAGGAAAGACAAAACAATCAATTCAAATTACAAAGGATCCTCTTAACTCCAATTAAGAATTCGTTGGGGCCTCTTTTATCATCCCGGCCGGGCTATCCGGGGAGGTGCCCTCTATTGGGCAAGGAATGCACCGTTGGACCACCCACTCCCCTTCCTTGGTTCTCGGTATATTGGTTCCCAGTCGTTTGCCGTGCTCTCGCATTTGGGCTCTTCCCACGCGCATTCACATCAAGAACTCCAAAAATAGCAATGACATTATACGATATACTCAGTTAGCTTCATCCTCTAATAAACAAGATCATCAAATGCAAGTTCATTATATTCAATATCGACCCACATCGAGGATTATTTGTATTTTTTTCATTTCCTTTTCCCTAGTTTATTTATTCCTCAACGTCCAATACGATTGTGACTGTCCCAGTCCACACGACTCCAAAAACCATACACCATCTCGAGAGTCTACTACGAGCTTAATAATTTTATAGTCAAAACTTTACATAAAAATGGTTCGCATTAGTTGAACTTCAGGGTCTTTGAGGATGCTGAAACTAATCAGTAGACAGAGATCGTGAACTTCGGTCTCCGTGTGTTGCTGAAGCCCAACATGAGAATCGAGCTACCTGGTTTAAGTCTCCTGTCAGCAGGATAACAAGATAATCACAGCGGGAACTCTTTCTGGAGAAAATCGAGATTCCTTGAGTCACAAGCTTCCAGCATATCGTTCCGGGAAGCACAGCTGCAAAACAAAGAGCAGAAATTAGTTGCAATCAATTAATCATGGACACGATTAAAGGGATTGTTATTTGAAAGAAAGTACCTCAAAGAGATTCTCAAATACTGCCAGGCATTATCTGCCTTTGGATTCATGGAGAGTGCCCGGACATAATAACGTATAGAGTCCTCATACATACCCTGAATGCAGAAGAATGTGTTAACATTCTAAATTAATCCCATGCCACAGAAAATAGAGTAGTGCTTTTCATGCAGTAAGAAGCATTATGAGCGACTAGGTTTCTTGACGAGATATAAGGTTTCACAGCTTCTGTATTTTATACGAGTTATGAATGAAAGAAAGGATAGAAATTTTGGAAGCCAAATCAAACATTGTAAATATTACTCAGCACTAAGAGTACAAATATCAAATTTAGACAAGCACGTAGTAAGAAAGAGGACTAAAAGTTCACAAATGTGTGAAAACAACACAAGTGAGGATTCAACATGGTTTGTAAGAATGGTAATCAATTCACGTAAATTTTATAATCCAGGTTTGTGCAAGAAACTTGGAAACTGAGAAAAGAAAACTTGAATAACATGCTGTGCATTGCAGGATCAAGTTTTGCATTATAGACTACTAAGATGACTAAGGGGAAAAGTATGACTATAAATTTGCAAACTACAGAGCAGAAAGTCTCTACAGCAAGGAAAGATCAATGGCCTAATTGACTGCAAGTTGAATATGCTATGACCCTCTTCATCAAGAATCCAACATCGTATATTTATAAAGTGAAACATCAACATTTTTGTGTGTATTCTAATATGTGTATCATTTTATTTCTTCTGCTAATGCTTCCAAGGTATTTGCATTTCTAAGTGATAAATCCTTAGAAATACTCACAGCATATAAGAACACAAATCGTTGTGATTTATGCACTATGTTTTAATTTGATAAATGCCAAACATTGTTTTTACCTGGTTAGCATAGCTGATGCCCATGTTTGCCCATGCACGTACATAATTAGGCTTTAAATCAAGAGCCTGAGAAGCAAGGAATATATTATGATCTTTGGAAACTGGAAATGCAATATATCACAAAGAGAAGGTTGATGCTATCACATAGAGTCCAACTTGGGTGAACACGCATAGCAAAATCAATAAACAAATTACTAGAATCATTCCCAGAACGTTATATAGAATTGAATCTCACTTTTTCCTCCCATGTAACAAATTCTTTATAAGTTACATCTAGACTTTATGGGCTGTTTCACGTTGGTACAAAGGAGTTAACATTATCGGATTTGAGAGAAAATTAAATTTTTTTTTGGAAGGATTTTTCATTACTGGTGTTATGTAATTCATCTACACACACTTGGTTCGATTCAATGTGAGGAACTAGCAATCAATTTTTAGCTGTCATCATTTACAGTTTTTCATCAGCAGGCTTACTGTTTATCTACAGGGCAATGCTACGTGTACACAATAGTTTATAGACTGCCTTACATTCCTCTCACATGGAGGCCCTTCCATGTGAGGGGGGTATAGGCTGTGTGTATACCTCATGGTGTACACATAGTATTATTCTTATCTACAAATAGCACGAGTTAAGAGTGTGTCTGTGCATGATTACATCCTGCCAGATCCAACTCGGCGTAACTTTATCACTGTAAAGGAAAATGGAGGGAAAAGTGGTAAGATCATTTTACCTGTTGATAGGCAAAAATTGCATCGGCACTCTGAACACTATTAGCTTGGGTTGCACCAAGTTTATTCCAGAGTGAATAATCTCGTGGTTTGAGTTTTAAAGCTGTCTGGAAAGCCTCAATAGCTTTGTCATATTCTCTGGATAAGTTGTACAGGACTCCAAGAACTATGTGTACATCAGCATCATCAGGTGATAGTTTGGCCGCATCATTAAATAATCTAGCAACCTGCACACCTCAAACCAAACTTCGAATGAAGATCCTCATTTACAGCAGTTCGACAAAGGGGATAAAAACAAATAAAGAAAGCCATTTATTGATTAACAAAACAGGTCCCAGACACTGGCAGCTCATCGAAAACTTCATCATTGTAATAGCAATCAATTAGATAGACCACAGACGTAAGTGATGTGATCAATGTACACAGATAGATGCCTGTGCATGCACATAGTAGTAGTTGAAAGGACCCATACGTCAAGATTATAGAGATTATCAGGCTGCTCTGCAGATGTAATGGTCCCATACTTTGGATGATGGCGTAGCCAACTGTACAAGTACTTCAATGCAGCTGCTTGTTCCAATTCTGAGAAGTTCACAAAAACAAACGAACTGTTCAGTCTTCCAATAATATTATATTAGACCATATACAATGGCAAAAAAATAACTATTTTTTGCGAAATACAAAATAAACAGGAAAATCCATGATATATAGTATATACACACGTGAAAAAGCTAGATGCGCAAATATATTTGACCGAGTATGCACACACAATACTATTACAGGCCTAAAGCTAGACCGAAAATCTAGGTGAATCATAGCAGATTTTCTTCTTCGGTTACTGAAGGAGTAACTACTAAGACTAACCATTTGTATGACTCACGCCAAGAGCGAGAAGTACTTCCAAGTTTGTTGGATCAACTTCCTGTGCACGCATCATGGCTGCAATAGCCTGTGACACAACAGATTTTCCATAAGAAATAGGGATTCTATTACCATGTCCAAAGTAAATAAAATGAAAATTCTCAGTGCAAAACTTTCCTATTATGTTTGTTTTTATGGATCTTATTTAGTCAAAATTTCTGAATGAACCCCACCATAAATAACATAAGGGATGATACCTGAAATTAGTATACCTTGAACGTGCAAGCAATAAGAGGTTGTATATATAAAGAAGCATTATTTTAATCAGATGAAAACCAAGATGAAAAATTCAGATATAATTCAGGGAACATACAAGCAAAAACAATTTCAACCTGTTGATCATCGTCATTCTCAGCATGTGCTATGCCTAGTAACCTCCAGCCCTCAGCGTTGTCAGGGTTCTTCAGAACCTCAGCCTCCAAAGCCAGTACTGCTTCACTTAAAAGTCCCTTGCGAAACAATTCTTGCCCTTCTCTCAGAGGATTAGGATGGCCAACATAAGGATTCATATCAGAGAATACATATACACCACTCGAGGTCTCTGATTTCTGCTTCAATGCTACTTGCTCATTCAGGTACCTATCATGAAAACCAGAATTACAATGTGCAATCACATGAAAGGTACGAGGCTATATACTACATGTTAGATCAGATATTATCCACACAACCATGCGAAAGAGAGCACCAATTATGAGAAATGTATTCAATATTCTCAAATTTTTTAACAGTAATAGAGAAGCATAAGGTCAATCAAACGATACATACATGCTTGACTAAAATGTATTTATAGGATAATTTATATTTAAAAAGAAAAAGAAACAAGAACCTGGTACCTAAGAGTCAACTTACAAAGATAATCACTAAGATCATATTTACAAGGATATAAGAACAAAAGATAAAAGCATCAACAAACTTCAAACTTCTGACTAGAACTGGCAAATGGAAGGGTCTGGGGATACGAATGTTAACAGGTGGTAGGTAAAAAGGAACCACTTCTACCCATCTATTTAACAGGTAACTCAGTCGAGAGAAATAGGGTCAGATGCACCACTAACATCAATAAGTTTGCCATCATGAGAAGTTGATTACTTCAGCATCACTATATAGGAGATTTCGGTAGGTTTCATAACTCCCTTTTCCCTCTTTCTATTTAATGCCCTTACATCCACTCAGGTGGGCCTACCTCACACATGCAAGTATATTAATCAGGTACTGTACAATACATGATAACTATGTAAATTCACTGATCCTATATCCTATGATCATCTCAAATGTCTGGATGCAAATTTTCATATCTGCCTACTAGGAAAGGAAGTTTCTTCCAAATATACCACAATTGAATGAAACAGCACTACCTGAGCAGATTATGCTCCTTTGCAAGCATGCAACTTCAAATTCGAAATCCAGTGTAATTTAAATGTATAACTAAACAAAATACAAACTTATATCAATGCGGGGTGCTTGATAAAAGATGGACAACACGCTATTGCTATTACACAATGCGAACACCTTTGCACACATTTCCAATATATAAAAGACATCTGCACGTTTATACTGCAACTACGTTCATGATTTGTTGATCTCCTCTTCAGCTTCTGAATTAATTTGTCATGAGAGTAGAATAAAAGTTCCTTTTCTTTATCTTCAAATAATTACAAAACTTACTCATCATATGCATTTGCCCAGTTATCACCAGAACTATCACCCAATACTCCTCCTGCAACCTGATGCTCAAATTCTTCTGCCCAGTCATTGACATGTAACTTAGAAAATTCATTGACCCACTCACCATCAACCGATCCATGTATCACACGTTCAGAAGCAAACTCATTTGCCCATCCATTAGGTCCATGGGAATGCTGAAAACAAAATAGTGTTAGGTGAGTAGGTGGCATGTAAATTTTCTTAGAGCATAAGGCATAAACTCTACAACAAACATTTGGTCTAAAGCAATAAAATCAACAGAAAACCATTTTACCAACTCGCTAAAGAGATGAAAAGTTTGACAGTCCATAATAAGTTGGAATGTCGGATGAATTATCACTACATAACAAAGCTAGATAGAAAAGACTTTCATTTGATAGATCATCTTGCAAATCCTGAGCCTAGCATAACACTATATTAAAATAAACAGACAAGCCTTAGGTCTTCAGTCCTTGATCAAGTTTGTACTTGCCTGCTCATTCACAAACTGGTCAGCCCATGTTTGACCTCCATTATATTGTTGCTGATACTCTGCAGCCCAATCTCCAGGTGCAGAGAATGTGGCTTGTTTTATTTGATTATCCTCAATAGTAAGTTCGCCACGACTCATCTTTGAAACAAACTGGAGGAACTTTGAATTCTACATGACAGAATTCAGACAGAAAAGTTAATAAATTGGCAATGCAAAAGTCATGTATAAATTCCATAAAGCTAGCATACTTAATGTGTGCTGATGCATTCTCCACTCAAGATCATTTCGTCATCGTACATTCAGACTTATGATAAAAATTAAAAAATCTCAAGATGGATCATTACCTGGAATTTTGGGTCATTGTTTTGAGCAAGAGTGTGCGCTAGCTTACGTGTGTGCTCCATGGCGGCTAAGCTAGAAATATTTGCACCTCTCATTTGATCTATTGATGCAAGTTGGGATTGCTCCTGTGATAGTTGGAGTAAAACTGTAATATCAGAGTACTGATAAAAGAAAGGAGTGGCAGTTTCCAGTGTGAATGTACTTGATTGGACATAACTCAGCAACAGTAGATATAAAAAGACAATGTAATACGGCAGTTCATTTCAAAGGACGGCACTTACAACACATAAATGAGCCCATATTTGCACCAGTGTATGCATTTGCATAGTTCTTATTTAGTTTACCATGGTCTCCTTGTCAGTTCGTTCATCGAGGAGGATTTTCGTTTAAATTGATAATGACTAGAATATGCTGGGAAAAAGTTGTTAGATGCTCACTCATTTCTACTCACAAGCCCAGCAAACTTTACTAAACCAAGCAAAACAAGACTATTTTTAGTTTCCCATCTTTTTTGGTTGAAAAGAACACAAATTTTTGTAGGGATCCACAGGATTGAGAAACTCATAATCCATCATATGTAACTCCAAGCACTAATTTGTTTGAAAGTCAAAATACAGTTGGGGTGTAAATATTATCATTCGGAATTTAATCATCCCCACTAAACAGAAAATTTGCTTTCATTTCCACGACAGAAAATTAATAACTACACATCAAATATCAAAAGCACTTTAAGACTAATCCTTTCAAATATACTACTAGACCGGGCATTTTGGTACATTTAAACATATTCAAAATGGCCCCACTTCTATCTTCTCATATTGTTCTCTCACATCTACACCAGATGAATGGTCCCATTTTTGCTTCTTTCCATGAACCTTAAAAGTCATTTTATCCAGAAATATTAGGGATTATGATTATGAAACTGCAGAAAACACACCACCTCCACTTCTTGTTCTATATAACTGCAATAGTTAAATCAAGACATTTGAAATGGAATCAAAGGCAGATTAATTTGTGAATAATCAATAGTATCAGAGAATCACATTATAATACAAAACTAGTATGCAATTGGGTTCATAGACTTAAGTTTATCATGTAATTTTTTGTTTTAAGGACTGTATATTATCAATGTGATGGATAGGATCATTTTATCTCAATCAGCAAATTCACACAATTAAAGATCCTATTTACTAAAGGTGTTACACCTAACCCTTTCTTCTTGTAACGAGAAGAAAGAAAACACATATATGTATAGAAACAGAACTGAGACGATGGATATATACATATATATGTGTGTGTGTGTGTGTGTGTGTGTGTGTGTAAAAAATATATATTTGTAAATTGAACTGTAAGGCAACTTAGAATTCATTACTTTCATCTACAGATATCATTAATCACTAGAAAATTGAACTTATAGATTAATTAACTAAATTATGATCACAATCTATCAGCCTGTCAGCTGCAAAATACAATCTGAGACACTACTTACACGCTCAAATTCAGTAGCCCAACCATTAGCACCATGTTGTCGTTCAAATGACTGAACCCATGCATTAGGATCATTGTGTTCTATTTGGTGCTGCGAAAATTCAGCTACCCACCCATCTGTGGCATAAGGCCCAGGTTTCATAACTTGGGACTCATTCCAATACTCCTCCAGCTCTGGGAATCTACCTGGCATAGGGCCTCTGGACCTGATGTCATTATCAATATCTAAAGAAGAAAGCAGTGCGTTAACCTGCAAAGAAAACAAATTCAGAGTTACAAGCGAGTAAAAATATGCAGAAAAATTAATGATCAGGCACATTTCCTCGGCATTTTTACATTTCGTTTAACATATTGATGCAGTCATTACAACCTTGATAAAGAAGTTTGGATCACACGACAACCTAACTAAAGAATTTCTCCTCCTACAAAATCCAATTTTGGATTCTTCAGTGCTGATTTCACAGAGCTCGGGGTTAGGATATACAAGAACTCAAGTCTCACGGAATTAAACGGATTTCTTGCAGGGTTTGGAAACAGGATTGCATCTTAAGAAAGGGTTCATTTACACTGATTCCAGACATACAAGAACAAATATCTTAACAATCAAAATAATTTCTTCAAGAAATTTAGACAGAGGATTGCATCTTCACAAAGGCTAAAATATACAAAAGCTAGCTCCAGGGAAACTAGAGGTGGAGAAATTAGGTTGGAGACATAACAAGGGATGAAAGAGAATTAAGGTCTTGATGTGGCAGTAAGATCACCCCCTGAGGTGGGTGGAGAGACATAATTAATGTGTACAATTTCATCTATCCAAAACATCAATTTTTCTACAGTGATAGTTTGACAAAATTGACAATGGTTTGTGAAATCGCAAAAGTATCAGAAAGTGGAGTGAAAGTAAAGGGCAGAAACGGAGGAAGTGTTGGTTAGTGGTAATGATGTTAACAGCGTGAACTTGGCAGCTGGCAGCTAAAACTAAGTTCTTCCCAGCTCCAGGTATTTAGGTACAGAAGATGCATTCAAGTCAGATTATGTCACATTAATGCCAAAACCGAATTGCAGCTGATGCAGCATTGAACAGGTCTATAAGATAACTGAATTTCAATTATAATGGCACAAATATGAAAAAGCCAGACAAGGCGCAGAGAGAGAGAGAGAGAGAGAGAGAGAGAGAGAGAGTTTGGGAAGGTGGTTTTTAAATATGGAGATCCAGTCAGAGCCTAATAAAACTGTAACAGCCTCTGTAAGAGAAAGAGAAACCTCGGGCGTCTGTTCTAATGCTATGAAACAGTTGAAATACTCTTTCTATAGTCACATATGACATTTTCTACAATATTTACTTTAAATGAACATAATATGATCAATTTTGATCAGAAAGTAAATTTCCTTGTTTTAGGCTGATGATAATAATCCAATTATCGATTGAAGTGGTCTGTCTTTGCCTGGCATATGAAACATATAAATTGTGGAGAAAGCTTCAACCTAATTCCCATATAGTCCATTTTACAGTTTTAAAGCTTTCAATGACGAAAAATTCGAAAGCATTGCAAGAGAAAAATGTGATAATGCCAAAAGACATAAAGAAAGTGACAGGCAGAAGAGACAAAACATAGACTTAATAAATGTCAACTTCCAACTGTTAATCATATGAACAGAACCTGTGCATTAATAAAATCTTCATTCTTATCTGCAAAAAAGTGCCTAGCCATAATACTGCTGCGATCACGTATGCATTGTTTATCACCTTCAGACAATCCTAACACTGGAAGTGAAGTAGGACGGAAAGGTAGGCCATTATGGCTACTGTGGACAAATGAGTGCAAGAAACTTGACAACACTCTTTGAGGTGGGCCTGCAAAGGACAAAGTGAAGGAAGCGAAAAAACATAAAAAATCAAAAAATAAATTGTTAGCAAAGCATTAATCATAACATTACACTTTTGAATGATACCATTTTCTTTTGAAGGATCCACATCAACCAGTCGAGGTCATATAGGAGGTGGAAGAAGGAATTAGTTTTGTACTGCATTTATCTAAACAACTCACTAACTGAACTAAAATTTTGGTAACAACTGGATACTTGTTTCTACATAAAAGTGACCTCCTTTGAACCCCTAAAACATTTTTTATTCACCTTCACTAACAACAATAATAATGACCACATTGAATTAATAGAAAAAGACATTTCAGGATTACCATCCAAACTAGGTTGAATCCGACCGTGCTCTAAAGGAATATTTGTCATACTATCCCTTCCCAAAGAATGAGGAATTTGAGGTCTTTGTATCTCATCCCAAGCATCCGCAAACCTGTTTTGATCTGCAGAGCGGAAACCTTGAAGGAATTCCGATCCCTGAGAGAATGAAGTATGAAGAGAATGATTTGACGTGTCCACAATCAGACATCTAGAGAGAGAGAGAGAGAGAGAGAGATCTACCTGGGCATGAGGCTGCAGTGGGTGTTCAAGCTCTGACCCTGGAAGGGCAGTAAAAGGTTCTTCAGTCCCTGCAAAAAGATTGCTATTGGTGTTCGTGGTTGTGGCCGTAGGAATCTCTCGCAGCCTTTCCTGCTTAGAGATAAATCAAGTAATCAACATTGTCAATTGTTTCAAAAGCAATAGATACTTTCTATTGTAAACTCTTATGACCAAAATGTATGTTTTATGATTATTATTTCCCTTGGAGGGCAATGTCTTTTAGGGATTGCTCCTGCTCACAGCGAATCCTTCAGCATCAAAGGAGAATATGCAGAAAGAATTCTTAAAGTGGTTTTCGTGTACCTAGAATGGCTCAGTCTTAAAAATGAGCATATGACATCTTCCTCGTTAAGGAAGAGCGTTCAAAACATACGCATTCAAGCTCAGAGAATTGTGTTTGTTTGCTTCTTGAGGCTTTCAAAGTACTTCATTCAATCTTTTGGGTTTTCAGATCTACATCTTCTAAATTCTTATCCTTGCGTAGAAGAGGAGGAGAAGGTTTCTTTTCAACTTTGCATACTTCGAAATGGTTTGGAAAATATTACATAGTCAAAATAAATGATGAACAGATAGCTCATCTGGTTAATTAGGTTCTGCAAATGTTAACATATAGAGGCAGAAAGTATACACACTCAAAAGGCCTAAGTCAATGCTACTCCACTTAAAGAAAATGTCAGGAGTAGGCCTCTCGTTGGATCGATATATCTTGCTATCTTCTGATGTTTCTCTAAAGGTCTAGTCAACTAATCGAAGTTTATCCACTTGAATTTATTCTGATCCGTGATAATATTTCTATAATAGGTCCAACAGAATTATAGTTTCTCTTATTATCTTATAATTTTCAATTTTTTCTTGGAGGCGAAAATATTTCAAGTAAACCTACAGTAGTTTCTACTCCTAGTCTCCTACCATACGAAATAACACGAACTACAACCACTATTTAGAGATATTCCATAAAACAAAACTATATGAAGAATCCAATCAGACTCAGAACCTTAGGTCAATTAGAATTTATGCAAAATCAATTTAACTGATAATTCAAGAAAAAACCTGAGTTTTAGAGGACGAGCCGATGAGGGCGTTGGTGAGAGCTCCAAAAGGATTGGAGGAACCTGAGGAGCCAGGCACTGCGCAAGCAGCGCCACCAGTAACCAACTCTCGCATCGCCATCTCTATCAGAATTCACCACCGCTCTATTCTCTCCTCAACACCGTCCGTTTGTTAGTACTATCGGATGAAAATTCAATTCCAGAAAAACTGAGGTGATGTATATAGAATCGAGGAGCTGGATAATACGGTGTGGGGACGGAATAAGAGGATGCAGGGGCTGTTGTACTTTTATGGGGAATGTCACCGTAGATAGGCAGTGTTTGTTTGTGGGGTTATCTCTATAAATTACGTTACTTGTACAATTCTTTTTTTTTTTTTTTTTTTTTTCAAGGTGTTCAATTTTTGACTAATTCTTGGGTCAGTGATCCGGCCCCTCTTCACACAGTCCAGTTAATCGCGGGATGTGCCTCCAACTAGCCAGGGTCCGAGCCCTCCGCACCGATCTGTCAAAGTACCAAGCAAGTCAATCCAAGTTGCATCTTGCCTTCCAAGAATAATCTTTGCCTTCCAAGATTTCTCTTGCCTTCCAAAAATAAATCCTTGCTTTCCAAAAGCCTCATGAATCGAACTCACGACCTCTGATCTGCCAGTGAAGAGGTGCCCCGGGGGGAGTTACTTGTACAATTCTTTTTTACCATGTAGGTTGATAATTCTTTTTTTACTTCACAACGGCATGTTTATCCATTTTAAAAACTATTTTTAAAATTAATGATCGAAATATCGATGATATTAATGCTGTCGTCCATTCGACCATAATTGTACAAATAGAGTAATTAAGCCCCTCGTTTGAATCACATTATGGTAAAAATGAAAATGAAAAATATAGTCGTTATAGATTCCACACAAGAGATAACAAATTAAATATGATGATTTAATGTAATGAATAACAATCATATTGTTCATTTTAATAAGGAAATAATGGGGGCTCAAACAGACTTTCTATTTCGATCCTTGTGGCCACCGCTGGACCGACTCTCAAAATTGTAAAGAAAAATTGCAGAATTGGTCCTTCATTTATTTCTTTGATTATAATAGTCGCTCGATCAATTTCCAACAACAAAAATTGTACAAATTCAAAATTTTACATTAGTCCTTGATTTAGTTCTTTGGACCTTGTCTGAGAGAGGTTCTCCCCAAATTTCTATCCAAATTATTATCGTTGGTGGGCCCCGATTGTGAGATAGGAGAGTCAACAATTGTAGTTGAAGGGGCTGCAACGATAATATTTGTGCTTAAAATCTGGCAAAAAAAAAAAAAGCAATACCAGACATGACCTTAATTATAATAGTCACTTGATCAACAATCAACAACAAAAAATGACAAATTTGTATAAAATACTAAAATGATCCCCCCCCCCCTCGATATGCATTACTCGATCATTTCATCTTGATGACCAAGAGAAGCCAAGCCATAGAACTTAAGTATGGGCTCTATTGGACCCAATGCGAGTGATGGTAGCAGCTACATCGACAATGGGAATGGGTGGGATGGGTTGGAATACAAATTTTACCTAGCATTAAATTGATCGAATTATTATTAAACGTTTGACTTTTTATCAAGTTCATAAATTATTGAAAGAAATCATTGAAAGTCCTTCGCACATTTATTGAAAAAAATTTAGACTTAGGTGCTATGATTTAAAAGTTTGGAACCAATGCTGCAAATTTTGTAATAATTTTTAATTAAAGCCAATGCATCTGGAATTCCCGTCTCCACTATAAAGCTCTGAAGCAAAAAAGGTAAACTGCCGAGGATCGTGAGTTTGAAGGAAGAGAAAAAATGGCGTCATCGTCCAGCAGTGGCCTAACATTCAAGCTCCATCCTCTCGTCATCTTAAACATCTCCGATCACTACACACGGATCAAGGCCCAATCGCAGCCTCCTCCCACCTCCTCCGCCGTTAATGATGCTGTTTCCTCCCCGCCTCCGCCGCGAGTTTTTGGCTGCGTTATTGGCGTTCAGCGCGGTCGCACTGTCGAGATTTTCAACAGCTTCGAGCTCCTTTATGACTCATCCACCCACACCCTCGACCGCGCTTTCCTTGAGAATAAACAAGAGCTCTGTTTGTATTTATTTTATTTTCCTTGTTGTCGTTTTTCATTTTATTTGTTTAATGTATGTATGTGGTATGATTCTGATTGTGGTTTTAGGGTTTTGTGGAAAATTGATAATTGAAGTTGTTTGGGGATGCAGATAAGAAGGTATTTCCACATTTTTATGTGCTGGGATGGTACTCGACAGGGGGTGATGCACAAGAATCTGATATGCACATTCACAAAGCTGTGAGCTCGGATTATCCTATTATATAGTCTAACTGTTTAATTTTCATTTTAGACTTTAATTCTGTTCGGTGTGGATTTTTTAAAAAGAGAAATTATCTATGGAATAGGGATGGGAATATTTGAGTATTTGCACTATTACTTGATATTTGAAGTTGATTTTCTAGGCAAGCGTAGGCATAGTTAACAACAACAGGAATTCAGAATTACTCAAAGAATATGATACGCATTTTGTCAAAGGATTTCATAGTTACTTTGAGAAAATGGTACACATTTCGTCGAAGATTTGTAGTTTTCCATGTGTCAATCATATGCAGCATGTTGCAGGAGATCAACAACATTTAGAACATTCAATTGAAATTTCAGTTTTCCTTTTGTTTTTCATATTTCACAAGTAGAATGTGGAAGTGGTACTGTATTTCGCTTGTATCAGCCTCCTAAAATGTTGCTGATTTATAATTGTTTTAATAGGTTAGGTATGCATTTCTGTTCTTCCTTCCATCTTGCAATTGTTGGTGTCTGAAAAAAATAAACAACAAACTACTCACCCTCCAATATCTTGGCTATTCCTATTGTGAATAATCGCTTAACGCTCCAGATCCCCCCCCCCCTCGATATGCATTACTCGATCATTTCATCTTGATGACCAAGAGAAGCCAAGCCATAGAACTTAAGTATGGGCTCTATTGGACCCAATGCGAGTGATGGTAGCAGCTACATCGACAATGGGAATGGGTGGGATGGGTTGGAATACAAATTTTACCTAGCATTAAATTGATCGAATTATTATTAAACGTTTGACTTTTTATCAAGTTCATAAATTATTGAAAGAAATCATTGAAAGTCCTTCGCACATTTATTGAAAAAAATTTAGACTTAGGTGCTATGATTTAAAAGTTTGGAACCAATGCTGCAAATTTTGTAATAATTTTTAATTAAAGCCAATGCATCTGGAATTCCCGTCTCCACTATAAAGCTCTGAAGCAAAAAAGGTAAACTGCCGAGGATCGTGAGTTTGAAGGAAGAAAAAAAATGGCGTCATCGTCCAGCAGTGGCCTAACATTCAAGCTCCATCCTCTCGTCATCTTAAACATCTCCGATCACTACACACGGATCAAGGCCCAATCAGATTAAAATCAGAATTTTAGTAAATTTTGATAGAATTTAATGAGATGTGTGGTTGAAAAGTTGTGGGACCCATAAAATATGTGGTTCAAATTAATTGTTGACTTTGATTGAAATTTAAATCTAGACCAAACATTGGCTTTGTATTCTTGATTTACTTATCAATGGGGAAGTTCTTTTATGCTGTTGTTCCTGTTGCATTCCTTGCACATATTTCTGATTTCTTTTGAATTCACGCCACCATTATATTGAGATAAATGTTACAAGTGGTTTATTAAAAATCTTGAAATATAACTGTTTCAATTTTTTCTTTGATTCGACATACTACATTTTTTGTTTCAGGAATATAATGACACGTTGTTGATTACTTACCTTGCCATGTTCACCAATTGCTCGAGGTATGTTATTTGGGTTTCTGCTATCTAAAATCAAAGGAAGAAATAGGTTAGATCCGTGGAATGAAACCATTTCCCGGAACTAAGGAGGAGGCCAAATTTGTCTCATGACAATTGTGAAAAGTTTGAGATGTATCTGCTGTAGGGAATGTATATTAACCCTTTAGTATATGATAGCTTGCCACTGATTTCAGCTCTAACTGAAGATTCCTATTGATATTATAGTCCAGTCAATGGTAATACAAAAAGTTTTATTCTGTCCATACTCCGTAATCCATTTAGGACAGCAAGATATCAACTATGATTGTCAGGCTCTCGAGTTGGTTCAGATTTGCTAATGGTCTAATTATGGTTCAGATTTGCTGATGGTCTAATTATCTTTTGGCGCGTAAGCTTCATAATAGGTCGAAGGATCTTACTACATGTCTATCAATATTTACACATAGGATTACATAATGCCACATGACACTCTACCATTTGCCAGCTTAAAACACAATCAATTATGTTTTCTCTCTACATCATTTTTGGTAATTGCTTATTTACCATTTTGATGTACAATTAGCAATATCCCAAGCAGAATTAACTTTGACTAACAAGTATGCTCTCTGTTTTCGTTAACCACATCGGATATATTATAACATTTCTCTCTGGTCCTTTGGTCAGCACAATGAATGAGATGGTAGATAAGTTCAACACTGCATATGACAGGCATAGTAGGAGAGGTGGACGATCGGCTTTCATCTGAAAGTACTTCTGGCATCTCCTTGCGTCCTCGGTCTGCTTTTACAACATTTACAAATCAAGGAATAACATTTCCAATTAATCAAAACGAGTTGTGAAAGTACAGGAACCAAATATTTCTTGTTTCTTTGTTTCTAATAGTGGCTATGCCATTACCGGATTTCTTATCATTTTGCAGGTTTTTTTTTTTTTTTCTTTTCTTTGGAGGAAATTGAAGATATGATTTCAAGATAGTACACACATTTTGATAATCGTGATGCAGATCTTTTTGTTTGTTATTGGCATTCGCAATATGTTTTTATGAATTTATCTGTGCTGCTATGCTGTATTCATTGTGCTTCTTAGCGAGGACCTATGCAATTTCTTTTAAAGGAATGAAGGTTCTGCTGCAGTTGGAGAATTTCATTTATTGACAAACAGCATGCGGTGAAATAGATTTCTTTTCGAAGTAAATTCTTCTATCGCTAAATCTTCTTTCAGAAGCCAAAATTTCGATGGCATTTTGGATCCTGTTGAATGGATGTGGTCCCTTTGCAGGGCACAGATGCCTTGAGAGCAGCAAGGTGAGACATTTGGATCGCGTACCAAAACCTATCTATGAAGCAAGCTCCTCGATTTGATCTAGGCCACCACTTTATGTCTAATTACCTTTCCTAGTTTGAACCTTAACTTTATAAAGGTGCTGCTGAATGGATGATAAATCCTTGATCAAAAACTCAAATCTGAAAAATGAGTACTATGGTATAGTTTTGTATTTAATTAGTCCATCAGTTGGAGATAAGGAAACTCGAACCTCACAAGGACATGGTAAACCACCGACTCATGGCCCCGACTAAGTCTACCATATAGAGGTTGACAATAGACATCAACTCCCCAAATATATTGATTGTATTGTGCTCTTCAAATAACGACTCTTCTCAAAATCTCAATCAAAAGATGCTGAGAAGTTGGTCTAAAATTCTAGAAGACGGCTTTTTAAATCATGTTAAATCCTTTGAACTGATTTCTGCAAGCAAATGAAGGCAACTAACTTTGAAATGTTCAAATGAGTGATTAATTTCACTTTACAGTATAAAGGCATTGGTTTGACCACGTCAGCGAATCCACAGTTCATTCAACAGGGGATGTAAAATTAAGCAAAACAGGAATAACAGGATTAACTGATCTTGGAAATCAAAGCATTTGCCTCATAGTCTAGGCCAGGTGAAAATGTTAGCTACATTGCAGAAACTGACACCTTTATTAGACTAGATAAATCAATACATCACTAGATAGACAGCTCGGTTTTGGATATGAGTATGCCATCACTATCTGCATACAACCATTCCCCGTCACGAATTAATATTCCCGCAACATGAATTAGGACGTGTTTTTCACCATTGCCCTTTTTGTTCGATTTCTGCGGATGTGATGCCAAGGCTCTAACCCCAATATCACAGCTGTTGATCTCGTCTACATCTCTAATACAGCCATTAACTACAATACCAGCCCAGCCATTATTTTGCGCCAATTGTCCAAGATTTCCTCCTACCAAGGCACATCTCGTGCTGCTTCCACCGTCGATGACCAGGACTCGACCTTCACCTCGGGTTTCGAGAAGCTCTCGGATCAACACATTGTCTTCAAACGCCTTAAGAGTAGCAATGGGGCCAGAGAACGCTCGACGTTGGCCATAGATCTGGAAGACAGGTTGCAGTACCCGTAGATCACCACTCGACAGAAGTGCTCCATTTGTATCACAAGCTTCAGCGGTTGCTAAGGAAGCCATATATTCACCTGCACGTACTGTTGTTATAAATATTGAAATAACTTGGAAGAGAATTTTATAGCTTTCATCTGCTTACACATTTGATATTTCTAGTCTGTTACCATGAAAAATTCAAAGAAAATGAAAGGTATAAAATAATCACTTATATGAAATACGAACAAACAAATATACATAGAATTATTGCAGCATCTAGTGTGCATAACATGTCTCACCCCTGATCCCATAAAAGTAAAGACAGAATGCCCCCCAGGACACATCCGAGTTGGTGGAACAATCACTTCGCTGGGACGTTGAAAGCAAGGGTGGAGAGTTCGATTCCTGGAGTTAACACTGGGTGCTAAAATGGAGGGGAAGCCATTTGGTTGAACAAACGCCCAGCGAGGAGAGCTCTCTTTGCGGAAGGAGTCCAAATGAGTTGTGGGAACCTGGGAGCCAACAAGGGCACATCCTGCGATTTACCTCCTGAGGTGCTGAGGGGCCGGAGGTTCAGGGACAAGGATCTAGTCGGACGCAAGCCGGACACCTTGTAAAAAAAAAAAAAAGACAGAAGGACAATGAAAATAAGCATCTAAATCCCTAGAGGTTGCCATTCACTCAGTATATTAATTTCTTAAGTTACCACTCGCAATGGTCCATGAAGTGTTCGTGGTTATCATGACAACAATCCTCCCTCCTTTTAATATCCGTTTCTAGTTCTAAGAGATGGTTGACTATTTGTACGACATTGGTTTATAAATTCCTCGTATTTTCCGCTGTCCCGATGGATGGATGTAGCTACGAGTAAAATGGTTGCTGAAACGTATCTTTCGGCAGGATTATGCTTGAAGCTCTGCACCTATTTATAACCAACTAATCTTTGAATTTCATTGCCTCACTTGTTATATTCTGATTCTCCTGAGACCACTAATTTGGAGATCAAAATTGGGTTAAGAGTTTTATCTTTCAATCCTGGATTTCCCGACTCCACGACCACAACCACGTTCGAAAAATCTTACAAAACGGATATAACTGAACCTGAACACCAGTATCCACAATAAAAAAGACGCGAATTATCACTGGCCATCATATTATATGAGTATTACCTTCCATGGTGGTTCACATGGCAAAATTCTATGGATAAGCCCTAATTGGGCTAGTTCCTATTTACAAAAGCAATAAAAGAAATGAAACAAGAACAATAACCCAAAAAATTCCTATATAATGTTAACCTCATCTAGCAGCACTCGAGGGGCTATGAGAATAACAAGATTAGGCTCCAGACCACACCATCAAACAAAAATAGCATTTATAATGCAAAATGTAGCCTTTCCACCTACATCTTAGTGCAACTCATACATGATATCCTGGCTGAGCAGTCATTGAATTAGGGCCAATAATTTATAAAATATGTCCTGTATATTATAACTCTAATTCATATACCGATATACTGCCCCCAACCCAGTACTGGACTCGCTTAATTAAAATCCATCTTGTTGAATTTCATATAATTACATCCAATTAATCCAAAATTAATACTTCAAATTAAACGAAAATTACTATCACATTCCTCAATCTTGCAAGGGACAGCCCATTCCATAATTGAATTATTATCAGATTTAAAGCTACACTAATAATAAACAGAAACCACCGCACAGAATCCAAATGATTGATATAGATTATCAAAACATTATACAGGTAAAACTAGAATTATAATGTGTAGAATAATCAATTACCTGTCTACGAAGAAGAACCAATTTTACGGGACTGGATAAGCTTTATGCCTTTATATGCATCTCGTCCATTGGGAACTAGTCGACAGTAGATGATGTGATATGATCATCTTGGTAATTGTGCCCTCAATTTCCATCACGCAACTAGGCTGCGGATATGTTTGACCTTCGAGTTGGAAAAAAGTTTTGTAACTATTATGCCCCAAATCTAATCGACTTTAAATATAAATAATTTTAATATATAGTTGATGTAATCTATGGCAGATTTATTATTGATTAATTAATATTTAATTGAATTAAATAATGAAGTCCATAAATTCAAATCTCAGTAATTTGTTAATCACATGGAGTTGTGATGTAAGATACAAATTACATATGATTGAATTTTAAATCATTCGTGATCGTAAGTAATGACGAGATATAAATATCGTTATTACCAATAGACCATCACATGTGAATATTTTACTTGTAAAGTAAGTACCTGATCTCACAGGCTAAAGTGTGGTGACATTTAAATGAACACGTAGATATTTGTTATAAAACAAAATATTGGAGACCTGCTAAGAGATTCCACATGGATAATTATTTGAGTATCAGTGGTGAATCTCTAAAGTTCGATAGTGAAATTGGTTTTTTGATTTGAGGTCATTATAGTGCATTGTATGAAAATATTCATACTTTGACGATATTGTATGTTACTCTACTAAGGGTCGCTAATACGGTATCGTTCGGGTATGTCAAGAATCGTATGAAGGTTGTGAATGACCAACAAAGGATTCGTTACTCTTAGATAGTAAGAGATTATGATCTACATTTCATTCAATTAAATCGATAACGAAATATTTGGTCAAGGTGTACTCAAAAGTCGAAAAGGAGTTTGACTTATAAAGACTTAATAGTAGAATGAAAGATATGATCGATAATTGGGATTGACACACTTTCATATCTCGTAATTGATTGGATCATATTGACGAAAGGATTATAGTTCAAGATAAACGAACGAGTTTGATTTTGTCATACTATGTGACATTTTTCATTACATGTATTGCCTTAACACATTACTAAATATCAATTTGGGACGACGAATGTGAGTTGGTGATAATTTAAAATGGTGCTTTAATTTATTAATTTTGATTAGATCAAAATAATTATTCACATCGCTAGGTATTTTGGTCGGGAACCTGATGAGTCACACATGAAAGGAGAAATAGAAGGTTGTGATTTGACAATTAATTAATTTAACAAACGTTGGATAAATTAATTAATTGAGTTGCTTATTTATATGTCTGATTTGATTAATTAATTCATTGATCGAATTTAATTAAATGAATTAATTAAATATTAGACCAGGTCAGGCCAAACTTATTTAGGCTTATATAAATAAGTATCTAGGATTTATAATTTGGTAGAAAATTTTTATTTTTGCTAGCACAAGAGGAGAAAAATCCTAATTCCTGCAATCTTGTTCTCTGTGTGAAATTCCATTGAAGACTAGATGATTGGATAACTATATGTGACAAATCAAGATTGTTGAAATGAAAGAAAAGTAAAAGAGTTTGCAGAATCAAAGAAATATACAATTTATATCACAGTTTTCTATCTAAACACAAAGTAAATCTTAAGTGAGAATTGAAATTTATTAGAATTAAGCAATTTGTATAATATTAGTTGACAAACATTGTTGACAACGTTGGAGGTGATGAAATCTAGACCAATGATTTAAAAAATAATTTTTGACAATTTAACAAATGGATGGATGTGATAATACCAACAAAGGTTGTCATCCATTATTGTAAAATTAACATTAGGGCTGGACATGGTCCGGTTCGGTTCGGTTCTAACGAGAACCGAATCGATCTGAAATTTTCGGGTATTTAGTAAGTGGAACCGTCGGGTCCAAATTTAATTACAGAACCGTTCGGGTTCGGTTCCGTTCGGTCCGGTCTGGTTCGGTTCCATTCGATTCCGTATTATAATTAAATTTTTTAATATATACAAAGTTACGTTAATTTAATTAATGATATATTTAATATTAACTCTTACAAAATAACGTAGTTCAATCTTATGTGTTTCACGCCTCTAATCTCTCTCTCTCAGTCACTCTTGCATTTTTTTTCTTGGGAATTTTGCAGTTGAAGTTTCAAACATTTCAAAAATATATAGTATGATCTCAATCCTTTAAGTTGTAGTTATTATTTCCAAATCTTTCTGTAAATATGCATTATAAAGACTTTTGAACAATTTTCCTTTAAATGTACATTATTGACGTGGAAATAAGAATGACCTGATTTTGATCACCCAAGAAATGATATATTGTAAGGATTCGTTGGAATCCAATGAAGGGTAAAAATGTCTCTTTATATTTTCTTAATTACCCTCCTAAATTTATTCCATTGAAATTCATTATTTGCCAAAATTTTCAATCACGTGCTGGCCCCATATGTCCTTTCAACAAACATTATAGGTGAGTGTGGATTTGGTGGTTGATAATAATCAATGGGAATTTATATACTTCACGTTAAAAGAGCATAATACCCCTACAAATATTAGGTGCCCAAATGGGGGCTATGTATTGGGGGGTAATTTTGTAAATTGATAGGGAAAGTGGAGGGTGGTAACGTCCTAACAATATCCAACAATCCCTTGAATATAGATAGGGTGCGGACATAAGTCCACTCTTGCCAAAAATGTTGGATTGAAAATTGGTGAAAAATTAAATTAAAGAGATTTAAAGGGGACCAAACGGGGGCTTATTGTACATCAATAAATAAAATAACGCATACCTTGAAAATTTTCAGGAACTTTAGACATATTTTTCAAGTGTACAATAAAAATTTATTATCAAAATCATTAATTCCTCAAATGCCTTTTTTGTGAGCAGAGAAACATGAGCTATGATGGATTTTTTGTTAGATTTTAAGTTTTAATAGTTAAGCATGATTGAACTTCTAAAATAAGAAAATATTACTTGCCAAATAAAAAAGGGATGTATTTAGGATCATTTTGATGTGACTTTTACTTTTACATTTAAAAGAGCTTTTTGATGAAGTTTTAGGATCATTTTGACGTGATTTTTGCTTTTACTTTTAAAAGAGATTTTTGATGAAGTTATCTTAATTTTTGTTAAAAAACTAATTTTTAAAAGCATTCCCGCATTAAGCCTATTTCCTTAAAAAGCTACTATAACTAGAAGAAACACTTTAATAAAATTAGTCGAATTTGACATTTCAAAAATCATGTCAAATGGGCCGTAATATTTCAACGAGCCAAGTGCTAGGCTTGTTTAGCCTAGTTTACAAACATGGTGCAGCCCACAAGTCAGCCCAAATATAAAACCAATGAGTCAATTTTGTGATTATCCGACTAGACTTGGCACAAAGATAAAAAGTTCTCAACAAGTCATAAGATAAATAAATAAAACAAGTGCTAAACCCACACTCCATGTAGGTCAAAATTATTCGGATATTTGAAATAATAAAAATCAAAGAACTAATTTTTAATTTCGATAGTGTTGTGTTTAATGTCAGAATGAATAGTATTGAATATTGTCACGTTCAATTCTACGGAGTCGACTATACATCTATACCTAAAAGGGCCAAAACGCTTTAATGTGTATTTCAATTACATTTTTAATAGAAATAAGAAAGTATTCATATGTATTGATCCAATAATAATTTGTAATTGTGGATTCATTGAATCATACTGGTATAACTGTATAAAATCAAAGAACTAATTTTTAATTTCGATAGTGTTGTGTTTAATGTCAG